ATTGCGTGCAATACTTTTGTATTGCATTCTGACTGTGCGTTCACTGCTTATGACAATATGTCTGACTATTGGCTGTGATTTGCAACGAAAGCACAACACTCTCTCTCTCTCTCTCACTCTCTCGCCCCTCTCCCTCTTTACTCTTTCTTATAGCTCTCTCTTATGGCACTTTAACATTGGTTTTACTCTTGAAATTTTAGTACACTTTTTGTTAACAAAGTTTTCACTTTGATGTCAAGAGTGAGATATTTTCTAAACATTTTAACCGAAAAACCTTTTGGGAAACTTTTGGCAAAAGTTTATAAAAGTTTGTGTGCGATAATTATTTTGATAAAATAATGTGAATTAATAGTTAATTTTTGCAATATTTAAGTCATATAATAATTGTAAACGATTAAAAATAGCCTAACATTATTGAAGCGGCGTTTGTTTTTATAATCATTATGTTTTTTATCAGTTATGTTGTGTGTGTTGATTGCATTTATATTTAATGAGAGTATACACTGTATTAAATTGAATGCAATTAATTCTTGTTCCCAATTAAAGCACATAATTATTAAAAACATATATTTTATATATTCAGGTCTTAAGGCATAAACACAATGACTATCGACTTTATGGCAAACTTCACATTCAGATCAACTTCTCGTATAGACTTTGTCTATAGGTTTATATGATTTTTATGCAAACAATAGAACTAATGCTTAATTTGCACTGAAATTTAATATATCACTCAATTTGATCCCTTTATTGATGGGCAATATTCTCGTTTATTTACTTACTAAAGGACTAATACAGAATTTTACATTTATTATGTAATATGTATTGTACATGTATTTTATATATGTCGACAGAATTTAATTGCAATTCTTTAAGTGTGTCCTAAAATCAATTGATGGCTACAAACTGTCACAAACGCCGAGTGGAAGATAATTGACAATCACTATTGAAATTCTATACAAGAGCTGATCCGATGTCAAGACAATATTTATTGCTGAGTTTATAGACGTTAAAATATTTGTCAGTTTTGTCACAATTTACACAAATTGTGATGAAGTGTTTCTGTGACACGGATTAACACATTTTGTGATAACATTTCAATATTGATAACAACTTAAATATGATGTCAAATATTTTTTTCTGTAAATTTGTTTATATTTAAATTGTTTTTGTAAATATATTTTAATATTATTATTCAATATAATTTGATTTATGGTTTGTAAGCATTTTATTAAAAAATTTTCCACATATTTAGTCGATTTATTACATTGATTACAATTATTATCACTAATTAGTTAGTAATAACTCTGAAATGTATGTCAAATAACTTTTCCATTGATGACTTTATTTACATTAACAGTTATGATCAATTTTACCATAATCTATAAACAATACTTACATCATGATTAACAAAATAAACAATTAATAATTAAAAACAATTTTTCTTTTATTAAATCGGAAAAATACAACAAAACATTTAGAAATAATCACAAATACTTTGGTTCCTTATATTTTGTTCGTATGCTATCTCTTGGGATCAAAAGACAAGCAAACAATTTGTAAAATGAATGATAGAAATAATGGTATATAAAAAAGATTATACAATAATATCATATATTTTTTCGATACAATTGTTAAATAACTCCTAAATATATCATTACTTTTAAAATCAATTGGACTTTCTTTGAAGCGGAATGTAGTTAACACTTGGCTTACGGGAGAAAAATAGTTACAGAAAAAACAATTACACAATTAATTACTGATTAAAACAATCAAATGAGTGGCGAATGAATTGTACGATAGTTTGCATGATTTCAAAAACCAACACAAACTCAAATGTATGGAAAAATTATAGTTAAGCGTATAATTAAGTGTTTGCTTAAGTGTTTAGAAACACTTTCGGTGGACAATGGATGGCCCGGACTCGTCGTACTCTTGCTTAGAGATCCACATCTGTTGGAAAGTGGACAGAGAGGCCAGAATCGAGCCGCCGATCCATACGCTGTACTTGCGTTCGGGCGGAGCGATGATCTTGATCTTCATAGTGCTCGGCGCCAGTGCTGTGATCTCCTTCTGCATGCGGTCGGCGATTCCCGGATACATTGTGGTGCCGCCGGACAACACGGTGTTGGCGTACAAGTCCTTACGGATGTCGACATCGCATTTCATGATCGAGTTGTATGTCGTCTCGTGGATACCGCACGACTCCATACCCAAGAACGAGGGCTGGAAGAGGGCCTCAGGGCATCGGAATCGCTCGTTACCAATGGTGATCACCTGTCCGTCGGGCAGTTCGTACGACTTCTCCAACGACGACGAGGAGGCGGCGGTCGCCATCTCCTGCTCGAAGTCGAGCGCGACGTAACACAGCTTCTCCTTAATGTCGCGGACGATCTCACGCTCGGCGGTTGTGGTGAAGGAATAGCCTCTTTCGGTCAGAATCTTCATCAGATAGTCTGTGAGATCACGTCCGGCCAAATCCAGACGGAGGATAGCGTGCGGCAGAGCGTAGCCCTCATAGATGGGAACGGTATGGGAGACGCCGTCGCCGCTGTCCAACACAATACCGGTGGTGCGTCCGGACGCGTACAGCGAGAGCACCGCCTGAATGGCCACATACATGGCGGGGGTGTTGAACGTCTCGAACATGATTTGAGTCATTTTCTCGCGATTGGCCTTCGGGTTGAGGGGCGCTTCGGTGAGGAGGACGGGGTGCTCTTCGGGGGCCACTCGGAGCTCGTTGTAGAAGGTGTGGTGCCATATCTTCTCCATGTCGTCCCAATTGGTGACAATACCATGCTCGATCGGGTACTTCAGGGTCAGAATACCACGTTTGCTCTGCGCCTCGTCGCCCACATACGAGTCCTTCTGACCCATGCCTACCATCACTCCCTGATGACGGGGTCGGCCGACAATCGACGGGAACACAGCCCGCGGGGCGTCGTCGCCGGCGAATCCGGCCTTACACATACCGGATCCGTTGTCAATGACTAAAGCGGCCACTTCATCGTCACACATGATTGATTGGATTTGCTTGTAGTTTCTGTTTGTGGCAACAATTGGGTGATAATTAAGTGATTAGTTTGCGATTTAATGGACAATTCAATGGTATTGTGCAGATCGGGTGATAGGGTGTGGGGCTAAACGTGGTAACTATTGTAGTGTTAAGCTAACAATGTTAACACACGTTGCACTTCAATATAAGGGTGTATTAATTGAATGGTAAATTAGAGTGAAATCTAATACTTACACAAAAACACAATTAACAAATGAAATGAGTTTTGAATGAGAGACTGGTCTCTAGTGTTAATAAATAGTGAATGAAAGTCACAATTGAAATGTTGAACGTATAGTGAATTGCATTCAAATTTATACAACTCTTGTGTCAAAATCTTATCAAATCTTTTTGAACATAAAGTGCCGTCAATTACGTCAACACATGAGTCGCGGGTCTTATGAGTGTTGTATTGAATGAGTGTTAGGATTAAGTCGAGGGGTGGGAGAAGTTTGCGGACGTTATTTCATACAATATGTAGGAAAATAGCGTTGAAATCGTTAGGTTAGGGGAGGAGAGGGCCGGCACTTACAGGAGCTCCTATGCGCTGACGTATACAACACTCAAAACGTGAATTCAAAACTACAATTTTATGCCCATATATGGTATGGGAATTGAAAACTTCCCGTTTTTGGGGATTAAATCATTGCATACCTATGAATAGCTGACACATACCTTACATACCCATTCACTTATCACCACTTATGATAACACCGAGATGTTTGGCAAGAAAGGGGAACTCAACCTCATGTGTATGTGTGGGGCATATCATTTCAATTTCACTTGCATTATAATGTACTTAATGTTTAATGTATGTGATTTTTTCTGTACACTTTACACTACAAATTATTAGCTAATCATATGATTTGTTTGTTAAAAGTTTAGGAAAAGTAAGAAAAGTTAGAATTGAATTGCCTTTTAGTTGAGATGTGTTTTTTGTTGAACGCCTTATATGTTTGTGAATCGGTTTTTGCAGTTTGTCTGTAGTTTTTGTGTTCATTAATTTGATTTCAAGTCCACAATTAGAGGCCACACATCTGTACATGATTTTTATTCCTATGCCTGATATTTAATACTATAAATGGGTGTCTCGTGTATTGTCTGGGCTTTTGGTTTACATTATGCTAAATCTGTGTAAATCTCTGAGGGGTTTATAAATAGCATATTTAGACTACTTTTGAAAAAACTTTTTTGTTTTGCCGGGGATTTGACAATTGATAGGGCGGTGTCTCGGGTGTCGTCCCGACAAAACTACTGATCACTGATCAGACATTTAATGCGATTACGATTTGTGTTTGGAAATGAAATTTCAGGATTATTTTCCTTCCGATTTATTACAAAATAGGTTTTCCTCTGAATTAAAACCTTTTGATAGGAATTATATAGTGTTTTGTTTTTTGCTGTTTATTAATGTATCAAATGTTATGTCGAAATTGGATATATTGTTATCAGTTTCTGAGATGTGTTGCAATTCTTTTTGTGGTCTACTCTTTCAAAATATAGTTTTATATCTAATCATAAAAATATGTCGAAAAATATATATAATAATTACAGAAATTAAACACTTATTTATAATTCTGGTTATATTATAGACAGAGTGTATAACTAAATGGTGTGAATATATGGCTAAAAGGGTTGTCTATAAACTATAGGAATGGTGACATAAATTCCACATAAAATTAATAGTTATGCAAAGATTTGTTTGATATAAGTTATAATCACTGAAATTGACGCCAAATAAGCGAAGCAATTATTTTAACTCTCAATCCGTTATCATTAACTTTTTGATATATTTTATTGATATAAAAAAACAAAGCAATCGTTTTCACTATAAATTCAGTAAAAATATTGTTATCACTCAATAAACAGGTCGTCACTGAATATTTCATGAATTTTTATATTTGTTGTGTATTTAATGATTGATTCAATTCTTGACAATTAGCTAATACTCTATGCATTTATTGTAGTTTTTGT